TTCTTCAGAACACAGCACAGTAAGATTCTTGGTAAGTATGTATAAAACGAGTTAACTAGGTTGGGAGTCATTTCAAAACTCATAATTTTAGTCATTTGAATGTACATCAGCTATTCATATCTATACATAAGGGAGACAGATAAAACAGGCCTCAGTCATTTGGCTTTAACTTACTTCTTTAAAAAACAAGTTTTGATTGAAAAATTAGGCATTGTTCTAAATAGTAGGTGTTCTGGCTCCTGCCTTCATGGAGCTTTCAGGATAGCCAAAGCATAATGAATAGAAAGGAAAAGAGAAAATCATGGATATTAAAAACAATATATTTGGACAGGAAGAAGTAGCGGTAGAGAATCCACTTAAACCAGGACCTTGAAACATGATAAGATAAAGAGAGGGAGAAAGAAGGATTTCATTTGGGATTCTTGTACTGCAATTCGTTCGAAATTCTTGTGCTGCAAGAGATCTCAAGACTGCTTAGGCTACCTCCTACCCCCTTTTGAGACACACAGAAAGTAAAGCCCGGAGAAATTATAACTCACACAAGATCAACCATTGGCTATCATTTATTGAATGCTTCTACATGACAGTACCTTACATATATTACCTCATTTAGGCCAAGTAATACTACCTAGAAAGATGGTAATAGTTGTATGATGAGTTTTATAGATAGAGAAACTGAGGTACAAGAGAAGTTAAGTACTTTGCCCAGGCTATGCAGCTGGCAAGTGAAAGAACCTGGATTCCGATTAAGGACTTGTGATTCCAAAACTGACTTCAAACATGCTAACTCAATTTTGAAGCCATTTGCATTAACTCTGGTGGTGTGTTCTACAGTAAATAATTGAGCCTATATTTGAGTAAATGCATGCTTAGAAGCTTACATACTGCCTCCTGTGTTCATCTCCACTTCTGGATTTTAAGGGAAGGTATCGGCAAGATCCAGTCCTCCTTATGCTCCTTTCCATGCTGTCCATACCCCCCATGCTGCCTTCCCTGCTTCTCCAGTAGTCAAGCCCTGTTTAGGATGCAAGTGTGGAAAAACTGAACATCAAGAAAAGTTACTGTCCACTTCCCAGCCAGCCATTCCTTCCTGTCCTCCCTCCTCTCCTACCAATTCACTTCCCAAGTGGAGCTGGCATGTGGGATGAGACCCGATCTGTTGTCTTGCCAGCGACTCTGGCTCCATGTCCCTGGCAGCTCCTTGAAATCAGAGCTGCGATGCCTTTCAGGGGTGCCTTACTTTAAATGCCAAGGCACTCGTTTTGTGAGTCTAAGCTTTGCATCTCTTAGGGAATTTTCCTCTCCTCTTAATGTCATAAAGACATTTAAGTGTGTTGGCATTCAACCCCCTTCTCCCAAAGAACAGACCTCATTCTGTTAGAGTTTTAATAGTTTTTCCTTCTGTTTTAGTGGTGTATTTACCTTTTTAAATTTATGTGCACACTTTGTGTCAGTGTTATATATTTGGTGTGTTTTTATTCCATAGACTCTCTGAAATCATAGTGTTTGGGGTGGGTTCTTGCTTATTGGCCCAGATTTTATTAACAAGGATCAAGAACTTTTAGGATTTTTGTCTGAGAAAAGAGCTAGAAGCAGCAAACTCTGGAGTGCCCCACACTTGCATTTTCCAAAGTCTATAAAATGGTGATGCATACCCGGTCTGGGTATGTATGTAGGAGGGCATAGGGAAGGGCTGTGAACCATTACCGTCTGGTGTTCTGGAATCAGATTGCTTGAGTTGTATCTCACTTCCATCACTTACAGGTTATATAGCCTTGAACATCATTTGCTATTTCTAGTTCTGCAGTTTCCTCATCTGTAAAGTGAGAACAATAACCGTATCTATCTTGGGGGTTGTTGTGAGTATCTAATGAGGTAATACATGTAAAGCACAGTGCTTTGCACTTAGTAAGTACTCAGTAAATCTTGACTGTTTCAATATCACACATTAAATCATTTTATACACTTTTTTAAAATAATCTTTTTGTTTCTTTTCCACTTAAAATGATGTTTTTCAAGCAGGCATTAGTGAGTATTGTGTCAAGAGGGTTAGGTGACTGGGTTGGGGATAGTGATGACACATAGACCATGAACCGTCCCTGGGGATTAATTATGACTTAAATATAGGGCTACTTTCTGACTTCAGTTTCCATAAAGGTCAGGAAGAGATAAAGAATAAAATTTGGGGTAGAAAACTCAAAAAGGTTTCTAGGAATACAATGAGTTGCTAAGGTCAAATACGAAAATCCAGGCACCTTCCTAAGACTACAGTTTAATATTAAAGTGTGATGTCATGGAAACAGAAGGTCAACATTGAAAAGACGGACTTTCCTGGCCGGGCGTGGTGGCTGACACCTGTAATTCCAGCACTTTGGGAGGTTATGGCAGGTGGATCACCTGAGGTTGGGAGTTCGAGACCAGCCTGACCAACATGGAGAAACCCTGTCTGTACTAAAAATACAAAATTAGCTGAGTGTGGTGGTGCATGCCTGTAATCCCAGCTACTTGGGAGGCTGAGACCGTAGAATCTCTTGAACCCGGGAGATGGAGGTTGAGGTGAGCCAAGATTGTGCCATTGCACTCCAGCCTGGGCAACAAGAGTGAAACTCTGTCTCAAAGAAAAAAAAAGAAAAAGAAAAGATGGCCTTTCCTATTGTGTCTTGGTTGTGAAATCTAATTATAGCATGTTGTGGACACTTTGGCTTTAATATCCTGAAATTAGGACCCCAGGAATCGCATTCAGCTTCTCTGAGTTTCCATCCCATGTGTATTCCGTGTGTTTGTGTGCATTTCTCATCCCACACTCTTACATCTGGCAGACAGCCGTTGTCACAAAGGTGGTGATGGGTGTCCATCAGTGATATGGATGAGATTGATAGGGGACCTTGACAATCCCAGAGTATAAAAGGCTGGGAAGTATGCAGCAGCCGTGATAGCAGATAGGACATTTCATACTCAGCCACCTTCTGGCAAAGATGGAGTTCAGTCCTGGGCTTTTTGCATGATAACATAGGAATATGAGTATAATTAATGCTACTGAATTACACATTTAACAATGGTTAAAATGGCAAATTTAATATTATATCTATTTTACTACAGTTTTAAAAAGTGAACAATGTAATATACCAAAACCTTTATATGCTTTAAGTGGGTAGATTGTATGGTATATGAATCATATCCTAATAAAGCCGGTAAAAAATATAAGAACATTTAAATAATCTTAATTATTATCAGTACAAAAATAGTTTTGCTTACATTGCTGTGTTAAAAGTACTTAATATTTTAATGATAGCAAAGAGATTGAATTTCTTTCATTACTTTTTAAACTTTATTTTAAAAACATTTCACACTTAACAGATAAGTTTTGAGAATTGTACATTGAACTCATATGTTTCTCACCTATTTTCACACATTGTGAGCATTTTCTCTTTATTCTCTGTGTTCAGAAATATGCACTGTAATATGGCAGTGGTTTTTGTTTTTTTATTTTTGTCTTTTTAAAAAATTCACTGTGCTACTTCTGTTAATCGTTTGCAATCTGAAAATTCATACCTCTCATATCTTACGTACTGAGAACTTCTTTAATTTCTTTGATAGATTTATTTCTCCCATAGTCTGTGTTTTCTTTTCTGCAATCTCCTATTAAATGGATGTTGGACCTCCTAGATTTTCTCATTTTTTCTGTCCTTATTTTTCATCTCTGCCTTTTTGTTCACCAGTCTGGAATATTTTGTCATCTTTATCTTGCAATCCTGACCTTTTTTCCCCCGACTGGCAGGACCAACCAGGTAGCAATCCTGCCCTTAAAAAAATTTTTAAACTATTATATTTTTAATGTCAAAGAGTTGTTTCTGTTCTTTGATAGAGCTTTTAAAATAAAAATTTATTCTTGTTTCATGGATGAAGAATCTTATCTCCCAGTGGATACAATTTGTTGTTGATGCTGTTTTAATTTCCTTCTGCTACTTCTGTTGTTCCTGTTACTTCTAAGTTCCTTTTCTTCTTTATTCGTTTGGTTTCTGTCATTCATGCTGAAGATGCTCTTGAAATGTCTGTGATTCTAGAATCTGCTTATGATTGAGAGGGAAGCACTGAAAAGCTGATTGGAAGTTCTCTGTGTGAAGGCCAGCTTATTGCCTGGAGGACTTCACTGTAAGATGTTGGGGTGCCGAGCTAGCCACATGGTTGCCAACGCTTTGGGAACTGAAGGGGAAAGAAGGCTGTAGGGCCCATCATTCAGAATGTAGATTTTTAGCCTATATTTTCCTCTCCTCTGTGCCTGTATTTCCCTGTCTAGAGCTTCAGTTTCCTCAGAAAGGAAACCTCCCTTCTCTAGCTGGGATAAGGGACGAGTCGTTTTCTGGCTGAGTAGGATCAAGGGAGGGTTTGTGAATCTGGGCCTCTAACTGCTCCTTACACAGATTTTTAACAGTCTTCCTGTTTTCAACCTTACCGCTTCTCCTACCTCACAAGGTATCTGGTGAGTTTCATTCCTGAGCCCTGTGAATTCCCAGGTTGGCTTGCTTGCCATTGCTGCCTCCCCTCCTGGTAGGTGCCCACGTCTCCACTCTCACTCCTCCTCTGCTATCCCTTCTCTAGCCCTTTCCGTCTTTCAGAAATATCGTAATAGGCCCATCAGCTGTTGTCTCTTTTCCCATCTCTTTGTCCTTGTAGATTTGTATTCTTTTATATTCATCAACTGCCTTTTTATTGGGTTTGGGGAGAGAGTGGAGATAAATGCATGCTTTAGTCTGTCGTGTTTAACTAGAGTTCTTTTCTCAGCTGCAAAAGTTCTCAGCTCCTTTTTCAGTGATATCAGGGCCAAACTTAATTAGTCCATGCAAATTTTGAGGAGGGAAAGACTTTGAGCAGTTGCTTAGCTCTGGGATCAGTCCTGGTAAAAGCCGCCAAGCCTGCTATGTTTGGGTTTGCTGACGATATTGGGTGAGCCATATTGTTACAGCTGCTTTTCTGACCTGTGTTAATCTGTCCTCTTGTAGAAGTGGGGCAGTGTGAGCAATCCACTCTTCCTCCCGCTGATCCCACCACAGTCTCAAGGGTTCACCGCCATAGTCCTCACTTACGACCGAGTAGAGAGCCTCTTCCGGGTCATCACTGAAGTGTCCAAGGTGCCCAGTCTATCCAAACTGCTTGTCGTCTGGAATAATCAGAATAAAAACCCTCCAGAAGGTAAGAAGCCTTAGTGCATCTCTCAGCTGGATTGATTTTGGATGGCCAAATTATTCACATCCTTTGTTTTAAATAAATTTTCCTGCTTTGTCAATAGCAATGCCATTTCTGAGACAGCATGCCTTCATTTTTCTCAGTCCTCTCATTCTTGTTCTAGGGTGGCCCATTTAACTCCAAGCCCTGGCATACTCTGTAGCCACAAGTGTTTGAGGGCTTAGGAATCAATAGGATCAAAGGCTATCAGCCTTGGGAAAACAGATCTCAGCTTCCCTCAGCCATCTCAGCTGATTTGTTTACATGAAAACTCAGTTTAAAAGGCATTAGTTTTCTCTTTTCTTATCTCTGCTCTGATGCTGTACTTTCCTCCAAAAATAAATAATAATAATAAAATAAAAAAGGATGGCCTCACGTCTGATTGGAAAAGTCAGCAGCAAAGCATACCCTGTCCAGACTTCAAGTCAGGTCCTTAAAGAGAGCAATCACTAGAAGTTCCCATTGGTTCTCCCTTAATCACTTTGTTCCTTGCCTTGGCCACCCCTGTAATCTGCTGGCTGGCAGCTAGGGTTGAGGACTATTTGATTCATTGGATTTGTTTTTAATTCGGGACGCACAGAGTATGTTCCACCTGCATTTAGTTTCTCATTCAGTCTGTGTATTACTGATCCTAATCCCAGGGACTTCAAAGCTCCTGCCATTTATAGCCTATTAAAGCCAGGAAGTTTCTGATGGATTAGAGCAAGGAATGAATGAGTTTGAAGTTAGTAATGTGCACCACTGTCACCGATAAGGTCTAGTTTATTGCCTGACAGTAGTATCTACACTTTTTATGGCTAGTCTCTTTTATGGATATACTGAAGTCGGGAGAGTCAACCCTGAAAATGGCCAGTAGTAGATCTATAGTCCAGGCTGGAAGAAGACCATATTTCTGGCTCTGTTAGGCAAATCAGAATTTGCCTTGAGAAAATTCTTTAGTTTTTCCTTCACTTCATGAGATGTTTATTCTCTGAGAGAATCATATGCTTTCTTTTTAGATTTAGGGAGCCACAGTTTGAGTAAATAAAACAGCTATTTTAAATGAAGGTCTTATATTATTCCCTGATTTTTAAAAATTAGTTTTCTATGCCAAGATTTGTTTGCTCTTTCTCAACACTATTGCATGGCCAGTTTTCTGGGTTTTTGTTTTGTTTGGTACTTAATGAGGGAGAAGGAAAGGGGTAAAAGAAAAAGGAAGATGTGGGCATCATTTAAGAAGGGAGGGTGAGAATACAGAAAGGAAGGAAAAGAGAGACAATTATAAGGAACTATGTGAAGAAGGAAATTGTTGACTTGGATTTATTCATACCAATTGCCTTTCTCCAGAGTGAAGTGAATTGGATGGTATTGCATTGCTAATTAGTCCCTTCATTTATAAAGGATGAGTTATATTTGTAGAAGGAAGTCTGGGGCCTGTCATTGGGTCTGGAATGGCTTATTGTGTCTTGTGGTAGTCACAGGCCTGTATTTGCTCCTGCATGCAAAGGCCACCAGCTTTCAGAGAGACTCTCAGCCTGCTCCTGCAGTCCTGCCTGAAAGGCAGAATTGCAAATTACAGTGCTAAATGCAAAAGAGGCTTCTCCTTATAACTCCTGATTAGCCACTTTAGGCATAAGGTGAGTTATTTATTGTGAATTTGTGTCACTTCTTTTGGGAAGGTATCGTTGCAAACTGTGAGAAAGGATAACTTTTTTTTCCCCTTCTTGATCTAAGCCTCTACACTGGCACAACTAAAGGCAGTGTAGCGGGAGCCCAGATTTTGGAGTTGGGTGTTCAGTTTTAATTTTTGGTAAGACCCTGCTAAAATGTAGTGGTTAATTTTATGACCAGGACTTTATTTTTAAAAGACTTTGACTCTAGGGAGGAAAAAGAGCCCTTAACTGATGAGGCCCTAATTTTGACACGTGTAGTGACTGGACTGGCTTTTTTCTAACAGCGGTTTTTAGGTCAGGGCTCTGGCTCTGGCTATGTGGTTATTTGGGGAGAACATGAACCATGTTTAATCTTCTGTGGGGTGTTTGTTCAGTTGGTAAATGAGGCTGTCAGCTCTGGTCCGCATGCCAGCAAAGGCATCTGATTTTTCACATACAGCATTAGTAACATATATATTATATATATATATATATATAAAAGCAAGTCCAAGTCTTTGAAATATTAGAGGCAAAAGTGATGTTTTTCGCTTTCTCTACATTTACTAAAATAAATATTGTGGTTACCATGTCTGCTGCTGGGAGGATTTGTGTAGGCAGAAATCTACCCGCCTTCCTATTTTTTTTTTTTTTTCATTCTCCAACCCAACCAAATACTTTTTTCTTTTGGTTATACTTAAGTCCAAATTTCTGGGTTTTAAGTTTAAGTAAATACTTAGACTAGGCAATTGAAATTTCCAGTGAGCTTTCATCACATTGATTTTGAGCTTTGTCAGAAGAAAAGGCAGGCTACTGCCTTTCTTCTTTTAACTGACTTTAGTTTTAAATTTGTATTAATATCAGGAGCCCCCCAGCTTCAGATTGTGATTTGCATAGTCCTTAGCAGGCAGGGTGGTATTGGCTGAGCATGTCAGCAACCCAGGATGGTCAACAGGGGAGTAAAAGCAGCAGCCACCTTCCTTGTGAGCCAAGTTCTAGGACTGCGGGGAGTTGGTTCATGAGACCAGCTGTACACCAGCAACTCAGGCAATTCTGAAGTAGGCTTAAGGTTCGTATGGAGATAATCTGATAATTTATTTTGTGAATCTGTGGTTGTATTTATGATAGTGATTGGCAGGAGGGACTTGGGGTCATCTTCAGTTAACCTGACCATTTTGTAGTACCTTTGCCAAGTTGGAGAAAAATGTCTTTGCTCACATTTCTCTTGGCATCCAACGTGGAGAAAACCGTTAATCAATATACTTAAAAAAAGAAATCCATAACACAAGGAGTTCTTTTTCTCCTTTGAGCTGGACTAAAGCTCATACTGTGAAGTTATCAGGTCACCTGGCTCAGCTGTTTGTTTTTCATAAATTCTGCAATGCATTTGAAAAATCATATTTTTCAGGCTACTTTGTATGAATGGAAGGTGACATTTCTATTTTGTCTGTTATAGGTTCACAGGATGAGACATAAGATACAACAGCATGCTGTTTCATTTAGAATTTAAAGGAGTAAGGAAAAAAGACCCCATTTAGGCTAAGCAATAGAAGTTAGGCCTGAAGATTTCTAGCTATGACAGTTTCTGTCTGCATTCTAGGGGTCACCCCCATATCCTTTGTCTAGACCTCTTCATGTTATCAGTAGAGAAGTGAAGTTCATAGGACTTCACAAGAATCCATTTGTGAAGATGATAATGATGTAACCATATTATATACTTTTTAAATCCTAGGAATAGGAACTGTGCTACATGCTTATTATCTCTAGACCTTAGGACAAGCCTGCAACGAAGCTATTATTATCCCCATTTTACAAAAATAAGAAAAATGAAACTCAGATTAGTAATTTGTCAGAAATCAACACAGATCTTTCTAGATCCAAAGCTCACGCCCTTTGCACTAAGCCGCCCCCCCCATGTCTATTTAGATTACCATTTAGTTGTAGGAAAATCATCTTGTGTTGTCAGTTCTTTGATTTGGGATCATATATAAGAACTAGATCCTTGTCAGGGACTCAGAGAGACAGAAAAGTAAATCTATTTTTTTGAAAAGACTAATGGGAAGGAAAAAACCTCTTTTCTTTTTCACATATATTTTTCTTTCCTACCTCATGCTCTTCTCCTTCTACTGCTCCAGTCCTGATTTTTTTAAAGGTTACCTTTCCAGAATCAAAATTCCATATCAGAATTATCTAAAGGCAGGATATAATTTTAATGCTTATTCTTTGATTTCTGCCCTCTCATTTCTGGCCTCCACAAAAGGGATACTGTCAGAAGCCTGAGGGAATGCTACTTCTCTTTCATGGAGGCCGTTTAATTTGACAAAGGGAAAACATGAAACTGAGAATTCTATTTAGAGTCCTGTCTGGTGGTAATGATGGTCCACAGATAGCTGATCAGTAAAATGGAGACACCTTTTGCCAAAGCCGACTTTTGGCTACTCAGACCTAACTTACAACAGGGAAGAGTAACCGTGTATCTTAAAAAGCCGTGATTCAGTCTATATTTCTACCTGCACCCCATATCATCCTCCTGGGTCTTCATTGCTCTCTAAAACCTCCCCTTCAAAGACTTCACAGAGGCAAGTTAGTTCTTTGTGGACATGGTCTCAGGTAATTCTTTGGACATATATAGATGAACAGTGTGGAAAGCTGTCTATGGGTTGAATGTGCTATACACATTCCCCAATTGTAAGTCCAGATTCCATCCAGTGTAGAGGTACATTCATACTTAATCAAAGTAGCTAGCCTAGTTTCTCTACATAGTGGAAAGAGGAGCTGTTTGTTGCCTTGTGGAATTAACATGACCAAAGTTCCATGTTCTTTTGTTTTATTAGCGTGTGAGAGTTTAGAGGATTCATGGCAGGGATCTTGCTTCTCTCAAAGTGGATGTGGAAGGCCTGAGCCAGGGGTATACCACTGGATTGTACCAGATCTCAAATGTACCACTTTGACACTGCTACCTAGGGTTCAGAAAAAATGCTCTGGTTCTGTGGGTAGACGCAGACTTTCCAGAGACAGCATGGCTGACATTTAGTGACTACCGCCGGTGTTCTGGGCACTGTGTTGCTGAATACTTTCCCATTCATCCTCACAGTCAATCATGTCAAGATGGTGGCGTCGTTATTCCTTCTTCATAGTTGAAGAAGCAGGCTCAGGGTGTTTAACTTGTTCAAGGTCACATGACAAGTAAGTGGTAGACCTGGGATCCGAAGCTGTTTCCAAAGACTGTGTTCTTTCTGAGATGTTTGCTGCCTCGTGGAATCCTTGGCCATAGAGCCATCTTGTTTAGTTTCCACCTGATATCAAGTAGAAATCTGACCTAAGTGAGTGCATTTGAAGTAAAAGGGCACATTGTGCTGCCGAACGCAACACATCTTAGAACAGTTTATACCATCAGGAAGTTCTTACCTATTTTAAGTCTGAATCAGTTTCCCTGTAACTTCTACCCTTCCATTTGTCATGCTTCTAACTCTAGAGGCCATAGAGAACAATTCCCTTTTCATTCGATAATCTTTCTGATAGCCCAAGAATATTAGTCAAGGTGCATTTAGGAGACAGAAACCGCATGGTAATTTGAACAGGAAAAATTTAATCTGAAGAATTATTAACTAGTAACAGGATTTGCCTACTAAAGGGTAAAGAGAACTCTAAAGATTATAGAAAATAAACTTGGGAGAGCCCCTTCCCCAGCTAGATCTGAGATTCACACCTTACTAATCACACTCACTGGATTAGTAAAGTTTACTGAAGTGCCACAGGCCAAAGTTGACAAGCAGGAAACCCAATCATGCCCTCATCTACACATAGAATTCAACAGGAATCTGTGAACTTGCTGGGAAACTGGCTAGGGCTTTAGTGGAGCTCACCTGGAGCTACCCACAGGGAGAATTTTGGCTGAGTTGCTGGTGGGGCATCCACATAACTTGCTGGGAAGCTGCCTGGAGGGGTGCTGTTAAGTTCACTGGGAAGCCTGTTGGGGTGTGCTAGAACCTGCTGGGAAGCCGCCCCAGGGAAGAGGTGCTACTTACACTTGCTAGAGACAAGTGCCCCTGCCTGCCTGCCTGCTGGCCAGGCACTACTGGAGCAAGAAGTATAAAAGGCATACCAGAACCAGGAAGAAAGCCACCCCCACGCACTGCACTGGCCCTTCAGTGCCCTGTACTGACACAGTGTGACGCCATGCCAGCTGGCAAAGGAGACATGATTGCAGGGTCCAGTTCGGCTATCACTAACAGGGCAATGATGACTACAGTTGAAACTGAGAGGCAATAAAGTGATAAGTGGCACACTTCATTTCTTTAAGCATTCTATAGAAAGCCTGGATACAGATGCCTGCACTATCTTTGTTATTTCTTCTCAACTATTTTCTGGGCTTGTTGGTACTTCTCTTAACGTTGTGGTACCCAAATCTGAACAGAGTCTAACTCTGATTTCTGAGTGTAATCCGGGTACCGTGAACATCCCTGAGATCGTTTCAGGAGATCCAGGATATGGAAATTATTTAATCACACTTAGTCATAATGTATCTTTCCACTTCTTTTATTCTCTCACAAATGTACAGTAGAGTTCTCCAGAATCTACAGGTCATGAGTGACATCATTTCCCACAGCTAATGGAATGTGTGCTTGTATATTTTCATGTATTTCATGTTTTAAAATTTCCTCAGTTTTAATTACTAATATAGTAAGTAGTGTGTTTATGTGTGTGTTTGTGCATGTGTGCACACACGTGTGTGTGTGTATCCTATATAAACAAAATCTCTTTGGGATTTTCAATAATTTTTAAGAGCATAAAGGGATTCTGAGACCAAAAGTTTTGAAAACCACTGGTCTGGTAGGTAGGGCTATAACCTTCTTCATTTTAGATGTTACGGTACAGGGGTCCCCAACCCCAGGCCATGAACCCGTAGCCATCTGTGACCTGTTAGGAACCGAGCTGCACAGCAGGAGGAATGGTGGGTACCGCCTGAACTCCGGCCTCCTGTAGGATCAGCGGCAGCATTAGATTCTCACTAGAGTGAGAACCCTATTGTGAATGGCTCATGCAGGGATCTAGGTTGCGCGCCCCTTATGAGAATCTAATGCCGAATGATCTGAGGTGGAGTAGTTTCATCCTAAAACCATCCCTGCCCCACCTTCCCCCGCAATTCATGGAAAAATTTTCTTCCTCAGAACTGGTCCCTGGTGCCAAAAAGGTTGAGGACCACTGTTACAATGTATTCATGTTTTACAAGGATTTGGAAACGGTAGTTGTATGACAGGGATTTTATTTATCTGATATAGGAAGTAGGGATCAAGCAAGAATAAGAATGCTTGCTGGAGAAAGTGATTGAACCTTACTAGTTTTGTTCCAGATCCAGAGAAACATGGGATTCTGAAGCTGCAGGTCCTTTTTGGTCTTTTAATGCTAAACAGACTTAAGTTCAAATACTAGCTTTATTATTTTCTGTGTATCACTGGGCAAGTTAATTAACCTCTCTGAGCCGTGAAAATGCTACTTTGTAAATAATTCCTGCCTCATAAGGTTGTCAGGAGGATTGAATGACAGTGCATCTGTAAAGCATCTGGCATATATTAGTTGCTTAACAAAGTCCACTTCTCCCTTTCCCTCTGCTTATTCTTGTCCTGAGAAGAATGGACTTGCTTAACATCCCATAGATAATGCAGAATTCAGGCCTCCAGTCTTTCAGTCATGTGTTCGTGCATTATTCCGAAGATATTTATCAATTATGTGCCAAGAATTAACTATAATTAACTGTTGATATTGATGAAAAGGCAGTGGCCCATAGGGTTATTTCTTTGGTCATGGATTCAGCCCTTTCCCAAACATACTTTTTGAAGCTGACCACTCTCTTTTAGCCTCTGTGCCACAGGTTTATTTTAAGACCATGAATCTCTTCCTTGACTACAAGGCCTCTCACTTGCACAGGCCCCTTCCGAGACCCTGGGAGTGCCACAACAGTGTGTTCTACAACCAGTTATATTACAACTATGCAGAAGTAAAACATTTTATATGCAGTCAGTTAAGACAGCTTTTCCCTACTGACTTTCCCTGTATCATACTTCTCCTTCATTATGGTGACTTTGGAGTGGCCATGAGCGCTTTGGGACTTCAAGACCCACAAAAATGAGATTTTTCTACAATGTCATGATGGACTTTTTGAAAGAAGTATGGTACCTAGCCTTCCTATTCTCGTTTGATAAATGTGTAACGAACAAACTGCCCTCTGAGATCTATGGACATGGGTACTGTACCAAAGAAGTTTGAATTTCATGCTCTGCTAAATGCAGCGTTTTAAAACAAAGAACCTGTGGTTCAATTACTCCAGTCATTTCATAAAGTAGAATGGGAAAAAAATATAAGGCAAGTCATGGGTTGGTGCTTCTTTCGTATACTAGAAAATCCCACATAATTGGACCTAGAAATTTGATATTTACTTTGTAAATTGGTCATGATGAGAAACCAAACCTAGTGAGTCAGGGGAAGGGGATACAGTGCTGAGTTAAGGAAGCTACACTCATTCAATGAAACATACTTGGATGAAGGGTGGATTTTAGCGGCACCGAAAGCTGTTTGATTGCATGACGGAGGTGGGCACGTCGGGGCAGACATCTTCAGCACATACACTGTATTTCCTGGAACAGCTGCAGGCAAGTTTTCAGCTAGGATAGACTTACCTGGAACTATTTTACAGAGTATTTAACACAGGTGGGTAGAGTTCTGATATTAAAGTCTTGATCCTGAGAATGAGGTAATGCAGACTTTATTTTTCTTCCTGTCATTGTGACCTTGGTCGAGTCGTTTGGCTTCTCCGCCTCTCAATTGTGAGTTGAAGCCAATTTGTTCATTCTAGTCAGGACAGTGTTGAGAATTAGTAATGTTACAAGGATTTAGAGAGGATAAATATGTATGTATATTGTATGTGTGTATATGTGTTGTGTATGTGTGTGTGTGTGTGTATGTACAGTATATATAGTTTTTATAATAATACAGATGCATCTGTGAGAATCTCCCCTGGCACAGTTGTACCTTTGGATTTGATGAGAGCCATGGATAGAAGTTGATTCTTCTATCTCATTTGTGATGTCATGCTTTTACTACTTTATCTCCTCACAAAATTAAGAGAATAGTAAATACCTTTTCCCTTTTTCCAGATTCTCTCTGGCCCAAAATCCGGGTTCCATTAAAAGTTGTGAGGACTGCTGAAAACAAGTTAAGTAACCGTTTCTTCCCTTATGATGAAATCGAGACGGAAGCTGTTCTGGCCATTGATGATGACATCATTATGCTGACCTCTGATGAGCTGCAATTTGGTTATGAGGTAAGGAGGTTTTACACCTTATGTTTATATGTTTAATATTACTTTCTATGACTGCTTGTCTTTCCTAAAAAAGAGTATTATATTTCCTTCTTAAAAGTCAGAATTCCTAAAATCTGCCAGTAGAGTCCAAAAGGTGTGCATAAGAGTGTGGGTTATGAAGCTGTTCTGTGAAGCACTGGAGAAACCCTATTCCAAAATGGCAGCTGTGCCCTCCACTGGTTTTGGGAACTCCCAAAGAGAGTCCCAGAGGACAATTTCAAAAGAGCATCTATAGCATTTAACAAGCACTTAATTGATGTCTCCTTGAATACCACTTCCTTTGACTCAAGCAGCTGGGCACTGCAGCAATAAAAACATCAATAAGTGAAGAAGCTGGCGACACTGACAAACAAAGCAGACCCTGTTGATGGCTTTCTTTCTGAGTTTTAAGTGGAGAGGCTGGCTGCCTGTCTTTAGGGAGAAACATTCCCTATCACCGTTTATTCAATGAGGCTGATGGATTAGGCTGGGTTCAAGGGTTAAGTATGGAGACCAGTAAAGGTCTCCCCAGGGGAAAGTGCCAGAGTCGAGGCCTGGTGAAAAGCAATAGGAATTGATGGGCCCTGTCAGGGTGTACGTGAGATGCATGATGACGACAGGCGGAGGCCTGCGGCTGGGGGTAGAGCTGGTATCAGACTTAAGCACGCAGAGTGTTCAAGTCATTTAGCTATAGCTGGCTCAGGGGAAAGGGGAGTGAGGTAACCATTTTCTTTAGTTAACTGAGGATTTGTTGAATTTGGGGTTCTTAAATCATACTTTTTTTTAATGAAGCTATATTTAGTACATGTATTTATTATAGAAATGTATTTTTAAACACTTAAATCGAAGGTGGATTTTAAGGGAAAGGAAAAGGAATCCACTCCCCCCGACACTTATCACCACCACCAAAAATTAAAAGCTCAAGTTTTCCCAGGTTTTTTTAAAAATGTAGCTTCATTTGAGTGTAAAAGAAATTGTTATGAAATAGATTGATATGTAATGCCCTGGGTGATGTAGTTACTGACCAATGAAAGGCATGAGAGTAGTTAATAAGACATACATTCATCTTTTTGGATTTATTTTTATTCGTAGAAGATGACTTTTACAGCATAGTGTCTAGGGTGTTGGATGATATTTAGTATACTATTATTCCCATTTTAAAAACAAATTGCCTACTTGTTTTTCTAATCAAGTCATGGAAAAAAGACTAATTTTTTTTTTTTGCCAGTGATTTCTCTCTTCATTGCATATAATGGCTTCAAATGCTACTCATCTGTTTATTTTTGTGGCAAAAGAGAGGTGGAAAAAAGGAATGTTCAAAACAGCACGGCCAAGATGGACAGAGTGCTGTCTCTTTAGTATTTTCAGTTGGTCTAAAGGAAGACTACTAAAAGAAGGGTGGGCTAAATGTATTCCTTTGATTTCTTTCAACCCTGAGTTTGTTTTAAACAACTAAGAATATGTTAACGAAAGGAAGTTTTGCAGCACTTAAAGGGACTGAACTCGAATCTTTACCTCTTTCCTCTGATTACTTGTGTTTGATTCCATATTACCTCTAAAGAAGTAATTATTAGAAGAGTGAAACCAGGAAGCTTTCTTATCTCTGTTAGTCAGAATCTCCAGATGCTATGGAAGGAACAACTTTGATAACAACCTTGTATATACAACTTACTATGTTCCTGTCAACGTCCTGAGTGTTTCCATACATTACTTATGATCTTGGCCCAGGCCTGCAAAGCAGGTATGTTTTTCTCATTCTGTACTGAGACTAAGTAAGGTTAGATAACTTGCCTATAGTCACACAGCTAATAAGTGGAAGAATTGGGATTTAAATCCAAATTTTTCTGACACTGTGCTGTCTTCCCTGAGGATTTTACTGTGAGTGACATTTGCCTGAGATCAGTGGTCCTCAGAAGTAGTACTTACAGTGATCAGCGTATCATTTGCCTGTCACAAAATTATTTTGACTCTAAGGCAAACAAATACATTTTTTAGGTACCCCTACCATTGGTGCTTTAGGGCTTCTGTGCCCAAATTCCTGCTGTATCACTGACCGATTTATGATGATGAACAGGTTATTTAATCTCTCTGGAACATAGTTCATTCTTATATAAAATGGTAATGACAGTATCTACTTCATGAGGTTATTATTTGCATTGGATGAAATTACATAGTGCCTCCCACATGGAAAGTGAGATTCCCCAGTCTAGGTTGGGTTCAGAGCACTCTATACCTCTTTGTGAGCAAATAATGGTGAACTATGTTGTTTAGTGTCTTTTTTTCCTTTTGGAATGTAAGCACCAAAGGGCAGTAAGTACACCTCCTGTGTGATGGACAGTAGACTGTACACTTTACAGATGCCATGTTAGCTGCTGCTGCTGTTATCATTATGACTACTGCTATTTTCATTATTCCATTCATGATTCTACTATGATTCACGAAAGAGATTGTTGTTTTCATTATTCAGAAGGGACATTTCTATCTTGAAGAAGGGACTCAGTTTAGTGTTGAATCAAGAGACAAAAGATCATGATGCTTCTAAATCCTGCTTTTTATGCTGAAGCCTAGGATTGGTTTTCATGCAGGAATTGGGAGCAGGCTTGACTGATTAAGGGAATAAATAAGTAAATATTTACATCCTAAGGGAGTTATATTGGATCCCAGAACTACTATTTTGTGGTGTTATCACAGTCCCTTGGGATTATATCTGTCTTGTTAATCTCTACTCATCCTTCAACACTCAGCTCGGCTGTTACTATCTCAAAGAAGCTTTCAGAGAGTCCCCAGTCAGGTTGGGTTCAGAGCACTCTGTATGTCTTTGTGAGCAAATAATTGTGAACTATGTTGTTATAGTGTCTGTTTTTCCTTCTAGAATATAAGCAGCAAACGGCAGGAACCATGGCTCTCCTATTCATTGCTGTGTCCTCTGTGCCTAACCCAGTTTATTGTATTCAGTAGTTAATTCAGTAACATTTGATTAATGAATAAATCTCCCTTACCAACACACATATGAAAGATATAGAAAAGATTATTCTGGCCTGTATGCCCTTCCACTTTACCATGATCCATAATCTGGTTACATCCATTTTGGAAAACAGTTTGGAGTTTAAAATGTTAAACATACATCTACCTTATGACCAGCCATTCTTCCCATGGGTATTTACCCTAGAGAAATGACAACTTATGTCTCTACAAATACCTGTATGCTAACATTGAAAGCAGCTTTTATTTGTAATAGGCAAAAACTGGAGAAAATAAAACAATGTCTATCAACAGTTGACTGGATAAACATTGTGATACATCCATAGAGTAGAATATGGCTCAGTAATAAGTAAGAAGTAACTATTGATACATGCAACAACATGGACATTTTTCAAAATAATTATGCTAAGTTAATGAAGCAGGATGAAAAAGAGAACATACTTTATGATTCCATATATATGAAATTCTAGAAAGTGCAAACTAACCCTAGAGATAGAAAGATCAGTGGTTGCCTGGAAGGTAAGTGGGAAGGGTCAGGCTGTAAAGGGCAGGAGGGTAGAATAACAGAAGGGTACAAAAAACTTTTAGGGGAAATGGATATGTTCATTATTTTAATTGGGGTAATGGTTTTACTGGTGTATACAGATGCCAACACATGTCAAATTATACACTTTAAATAACTATTTATTGTATATCAGCTATATTTCCAAAAAGCTACAAGAAAAGTTACTTATACTCTAGCAGTAGCATAAAAACTGAAATACTTGAAAAATTCAACAAAATGTGTGCCAGATATGTTTAGTGAAACCTAAAAAATGTTGCCAAGAGAAATTGAAGAACAACTTCATAATTGGAAAGATATAGCATGCTTGTGGATCCAAAGACTCAGTATTGTTACCATGTAAATTCTCCCCAAATTGTATAGATTCAAAGAAATCCAATCAAAATCCCAGAAGGCTTTTTGTTATTGAAATTGACAAGCTAAAATTGAAATGGAAATGCATCAGACCTGAAAAAGTCAAAGCAATTAAAAAAATAATAACAAAGTTGCAGGACGTACACTCCCTATTTTCAAACTTGCTATAAACCTACGGTAATCAAGACATGATAGTATTGGGATAAATTTAGATATATAGGACAATGAAACAGAATAAAGAGTTTAGAAATGGACCACACATGTATGGCCTTGTACACTTGGTGGGAATGTAAATTGATACAACTGTTTTGGAAAACAGTATAGATGTTCCTTAAAAAACTAAAAATAGAACTGCCATATGATCCAGCAACCCCACTTCTGGGTATACATCCAAAGGAATTGAAATCAGTATATTGAAGAGATATCTGCACTCTCATATTCATTGCAGCGTTGTTCACAATAGCGAAGATATGGAATCAACCTAAGTATCCATAAACAGATGAGTGGATAAAGAAAATGTGATACATATGCACAATGGAATACTATTCAGCTTGAAAAAAGAATGAAATTTTATCATTTGTGACAACATGAATGAATCTAGAGGACATTATGCTATCTAGAGGGCAGGCACAAAAAGACAAATATTGTATTATCTCACTAAATGTAGAATCTAAAAGTCCGACCTCATTGAAGTAGAGAGTAGAATGGTGGTTACCAGATGTTGGAGAGAAAGGCGGGTAAAGGGGAAATATTGGTCAAAAGGTATAAAGTTTCAGTTAGAGAGGAGGAATAGTTCTGGTGATCTATTCACAGTAAGGTGACTATAGTTAGTAATGACATATATTATATTTCAGTATTGCTAAAAGAATGGATTTTAAATTTTTCCACCACAAAGAAATAAGTATGCAAGGTGATGGATTAGTCTGATTTGCTTATCTACAATGTGTATGTGTATGGAGCCATCACATTGTACCCCATAAATACATATAATTATAACTTGTCAATAAGAATAACTTCTTTAAAAAAGCTGAATAGCATTAAACAGAGGGGGAAAGGGTGGGTTGAGCAAAAATTACTGCTTGAA